ATAAAAAATATTTTAAAAAATAACTATAACTATATTTTTAAATAAAAATAACCTTAATAATAATAAATAATTATAACAGTACTTCCAAAACAGACAGGAAACCTCAGAACGTCCCCACCACTTTTCCTCTACAAATAGGAAGGATAAATACAAATAAATTTATTTGGACAGTTCTGTAAATCTAAGAAGGAAGAGAAAGCTGTCCCTTCCTGCCCTATGCTAACACGCTATCCACAAGACTTTAACACTTCTCTTCTAGAAAGGCACTTAAATGTCTCCACCAAGAGACAACAATCAACAGCTAATATAGATTTAAAATTTAGATCGATCCGACATATTGATCCGAAACTTTACCGATTCATGGCTTAAACTGATTAATATTAAAATAATAAAAAAAGCAAATCTTGTTTCATCCAGTTAAAACTCAACCATTAATTTATTAATTTTTTTAGTAACTTTTTTATAATTAAATGAATTAACGTTCATCACGCATTTTGATCTATAACTCAAGCATTTTCCCAAGCTGAATTTTAAAATTAAAATAATAATAAAAACGAATCTTGTTTCATCCTATTAAAACTCAACCATTAATTTATTAATTTTTTTATATAATTTTTTTAAAATTAAATAAATTAACATTCATCTACTATTTTGATCTATAACTCAAGCATTTTCCCGAGCTGAATTTTAAAATTAAGACTACAGTCAGAGAAACAAGTGGCCAGCAAGATATTTAAGTCTCAACTTGGAGGGGCAAAACCTTGAAAGAAGACAAGGTAGATACGATGAGGAGTTCTGAGACTCCATACAATGAATTTAGAGAGGATCACTGACAGCCCTATCATTCTTGTAATGCACGTGTGGAAACCTAGTTGGTTGTATTGGTTAATAATATATAGTTTACATACAGCCTTCCTTGTTCAGAAAAAAATTGATGATGTTCTTGAGGTTCTTCTCCTAAACCAGAATATAAAAAGACTGCAGATTGCTGCTGGCTGAGCTTGAACTATTTATTATTTGTTCTTCTTTATTTGATCTTATGTACAATTCTTGTATTAATTTTCAAGCATCGGCAAGCTAAGTTGGTTACCATGCATACTTTCCCTTAGTTTAAATAAAAATAATAATAATACTTTCCCATCTGATGTTTATTAAAATATTTTTAATTATTATTTTTAAAAATTTATATAATACAAACTGCTATGAAATAGATTTTAGCTTATAAAATAAATAAAAAGCATGTCATTGTGAATAAAAATAATATTATTTTAACTTGAAAAGTTTTCCTGTCAAAGTAGTATTTAAAACTGGATTAATTAATTAATTTACTTGTTGTAATGACATCACAATTTTAAACTTCATTGATTCTTTCACAACACATGTAATTAAGAAAGAAACCATTAATTATATAGAAGGATTAAGGCACTGTTTACTGATAAAGAGATGGTAATTAATGATGTATTAAGGCCTCTAATTATATTTTATGGGGTTATTTATGATGTAAAATATCAAAGGGATATATATATGGTCACATGGGGGATTGACAAATTAAATTGGATCAGTCAAAGAACAAGCTGAGGGGGGGAAATCAAGACAACCCAAGGGTTAAATTAAGTGAATGGGAGACCAAGACTATTCAATTCTTTTTGTCCAAATTCTAATGTCAAAGTTTATTGTAAAACTAATTTGCCCATGTTTACTTCTCATCAAGAACACTAGAGTTTGTGTCGTTTTGAAGTGACTTAAGTCTTAATTTGGTGATCTTACATGAATCAATACATTGTTTAAGGGAAATTAAAAAAGTCTTTCTTAATTACCTTGCTAATTAAGAGAAACTATCATTTAAAAACACATTTATTTCCAGTTATTCACTTGTGCAATACATTGGAGCTTGGAGCTTTAAAACATCATTAATTTTTCAAAATAAACATGCATTAATGAATAAAGACAATTTTGAAATGTTGGCTAAGTGAGTACTTTAAATATTTGTAATTATAGTTTAAATATAATAGAATTTCTCGTGCGCTTCCTGCCCTATATTATTTATCATTGTGATATCGGATTTAATTTTTTAAAATCATAAGATAGATTTTTAATTTATAAATGCATTAATCCAAATATGAATCATATTTAAAATCTGATTAATGAAAACTTGATTTTAGTTGGCATAGTAGAGGGTATAATGAAATTAAACTAAAAAATTCTGAAAAATTTACCTAGCCATAATAATAATTCAGTGTTTAACCCAAAATCACATGCTATATTTCAGTAGCCTCCGTGCCTAACAAAAGCCTAATACCACCAGAAATGGAGGAAAAAAGTTTCCCAAAAAAAAAAACAGAGAGGATAAATCCACAAATATCCCAGTGTCAGCCGCCGTCCAGTCAAACCCACTAATTTTGACCAGAAGCTCCCCCGTCCGCACAAACATGGCTAAAAGGCATGTTTGAGCCCTTTACTTTTCTCAATTCATCAAATCAAAACCCTTAACGTTTAATGTTTTCAAATTAAACCCTCTACTTGCTGGTGATTCAGACTATTTTATCCAACTCCCTCACTTAAGAAAAGAAAAAAAGTGTAATACATTCAAGTATAAAAACTTCATCATTTCACCTGAAAATATATCAAACCTCTAGTTTCTATTTAATGTTCTATTTAAGGTTCTATCATGATATGAAGAAGCAAACCTTCCTTTTCACCTAGCAAGATGATTGTTATGAGTTTTTTTTTATAAAAAAATTAGATTATTAGATGAATTTGTGCATTAACAGTAACTAAATTTCTTTCCCAGAATGAGTAATGAATCACCAGGATTGAGGATCACAAATGATAGGGTTTGATATCACAAAATATGAAATTTATAGGGACTATATAAGGGTTTTTTAATCTTTCTTTAGTCAGAAACTCCCTGTACCTTCCTGGAAACCTCCCCATTGACAACATAGCCCCTTTCCTTGTGCAATACGTGACCATTTTCTCTTCTTCAACGCCACAATCTCTCCTATATCATCACCAAGCTCCCTCTTTCGATCAAAATTTCTAGTTCTCTCTCGTTCTTTTTTCATATATTTCCATGGCTGCTTCTTCAGGGAGCTTAGACACGTCTGGAAATTCACACCCACAAAGCAGTAACAACTATTTTTCTTTCAGCACTAATAGTTCTAATAACTACCCTTTCATGACCTCTTCTTCTTTCACTGATCTTCTTGCTTCAAATGGTGAAGAACCCATTAATAATAACACAGGTAATAGTAAGTTGGCTGATAGGATAGCTGAGAGAACTGGCTCTGGTGTGCCAAAGTTTAAGTCTACTCCTCCTCCTTCTTTGCCTTTATCCCCTCCTCCTGTTTCTCCTTCTTATTACTTTGCTATTCCTCCTGGTTTAAGCCCTACTGAGCTCTTGGATTCTCCAGTTTTGTTAAACCCTTCTAATGTAAGTCTTTGTGTTCCTTTTTGATGTTTTGGTCTAATGGTTGCGTATGAAGATCATTGCTTGATGATAAAGTTTTGAGCTTTTTGGTTTGTTTTTTATGTGATTGAAGCTAAAGATTGTTTTATTGTCCGCTTTGATGGGATTTTCGGCTGATGGGTTTTGTTTGTTTTTTATTTTGTGTTCAGATTTTGCCATCTCCAACAACTGGGACATTTCCAGGTCAGGGTTTGAATTGGAAGAGCAGTTCTGGTAATATCCAGCAAAATGTCAAGAAAGAAGACAGGAGTTTCTCTGACTTCTCTTTCCAGCAACCAGCAAGGCCATCCACAACTTCATCAGCCTTGTTTCAATCTTCAAACTCCACAGTTCAGCCTGTAAGTATCAAGTCTTTTGGTGAAATTTTCTCTGTTTTGGTTATGTGATTGTGTTGTTTTAACAGTGTTATTGGCAATTTTCAGGGACAGCAACAAACTTGGGGTTTTCAAGAACCTGCAAAGCAAGATGAGTTTGTTTCAGGGAAGAGTAATATGGTAAAAATGGAATACAATTCTAATTCCGTGAAGAGTTTCTCCCCTGAGATCGCCGCAATTCAAGCAAACCCTCAAAGCAATAATGGGTTCCAATCTGATCACGGTAATCAACCACCACAGTATCAGTCTGTTAGGGAGCAGAAAAGATCAGATGATGGGTATAATTGGAGGAAGTATGGTCAAAAACAAGTTAAAGGAAGTGAAAATCCAAGAAGTTATTACAAGTGCACATTCCCCAATTGTCCAACAAAGAAGAAAGTCGAGAGGTCTTTGGATGGACAAATTACAGAGATAGTTTACAAGGGTAGTCATAACCATCCTAAACCTCAGTCTACTAGGAGATCATCATCAACAGGATCTAATCCTGCAATGATTCCAGCTCCTAATAGTAACTCTAATGAGATTCAAGATCAGTCATATGTTACTCATGTTAGTGGACAAATGGATTCATCAGTTGCCACTCCTGATAATTCATCAATTTCAATTGGGGATGATGATTTTGATTCACAAAAGAGTAAATCAGTAGGTGGTGATGACTTGGATGAGGATGAACCTGAGGCCAAAAGATGGTAAGTTCTGATCTTGATGGTGTGTTTTGTTTATTAGAGGGAGGTCTTGGAATGTTTGGTGTCATTATTAATCTTATCTTTTGCTTATTTCAGGAAAAGAGAGCGCGAGAATGAAGGAATCTCAGCACCTGGCAGCAGAACAGTAAGAGAACCAAGAGTTGTAGTTCAAACCACCAGTGACATTGATATCCTTGATGATGGGTACAGGTGGAGGAAATATGGGCAGAAAGTGGTCAAGGGAAATCCAAATCCAAGGTAAAAAAAATCCTACTTTACAAGTTTTGATGAAAGAAACTGTTTGGCATTAAGTTTCTTAGATGGGAAAATTGAACTAGCCTTGGTATTAATTAATGTAATCTTGTTACAATTTGATGCTTTGAAGGCTGAACTTTTTGGTCACAAACCCACGAGCCCTCAATTTCTTTCTTTGTATTATGTCAATTTTATGAGTTTGTTTCTCTAAATTGGGTATGATTGTGGCTTCACAGGAGCTACTACAAGTGCACGTTCCAGGGATGCCCTGTAAGAAAGCATGTTGAGAGAGCATCACATGACCTCAGGGCAGTGATCACTACCTATGAAGGAAAGCACAACCATGATGTTCCTGCAGCTCGCGGTAGCGGCAGCAGGTCATTGCAAGACCACAGCAACAATGGCAACAACAATGCAGCGATGGCAATTAGGCCATCAACAATAAACCATGTTTCTAGCAATCCCATCAACAACCCTATAAGAAATCAAAGGGCACCACCCACAGCAACACCCGAAGGTGACATGCCTTTTACCCTAGAGATGCTGCAAAGTCCAGGAAGTTTTGGTTTCTCAGGATTTGGAAACCTCATGGGGTCTTACATGAATCAATCATCAACAGATGAAGTTTTATCAAGAGCCAAAAGAGAATTGGAAGTAGAGAGTTTTTGGTAGGAAACTACTGCAAAAGAATCACACAATGAATAAGAAAGTACTCGTCAAATCCATTACACATTAATTTGCATTCAGTTTGTTTAATTTGTTTGTTGTATATTTCTTCTACAACTAAAAAAGGGATATGGTCTTGTTTATATTTCCAAATTGTATTTGTCG